CAGATATAAATTACAATGGCAGCTCTAGGACAAAGTATGCAGGAGGAGAAGCATGGCAAAGTTGAGATGACTTGGATGGGAAACGAATCACAATAGTGTGCATTGGYAAYGCACACTGAYAAGTTGGTTAAAAACAAGCCTCAGTGGAATAAATGTGTTTATAAAAGAGGCAGAGTAAAAACTAAACTGTCTCCGTGTGTCCCTACAGTCCAGGTCCCCAGCAGGGTGCAGTCTCTCCGGGCCTCGGCTCTGTCTCCCACCTCCATCCAGGTGAGCTGGGAGCCCCCCGGCCTCCCCAACGGCCCCCTCCTGGGCTACAGGCTGCTGTGGACCGAGAGCCCGTCTGGCAAAGAACAGGTGAGTGAACACGACGTTCAGTCAGCGCCGGATGTTTGTCCACATCTGTGTAAACCAGCCTCAGCACAGAGAAACTGCTTTTATTCATCAGTTCACAAGTAAAAACAGGCTGAAAATGTTTTTGTTTCTAAGTAGCTGTCAGCTGAGGCGAGGCTGAAGCTAACGTGGTGCAGCAACAAGACGCCTCCTGAAAGCTGGAGAAACTAAAGTTTGATGTTTTAGTGAGACAAAAAGAACCAACGATTTTAATCCCACCTCCCAAACGAGCCGCAGCTGCCTGAGGATTAGCATCTCTGCTAGCTGCAGCTACTGCATGCTAAGCTGTGTTAGCATCTCTGCTAGCTGCAGCTGCTGCATGCTAAGCTGTGTTAGCATCTCTGCTAGCTGCAGCTGCTGCAGGCTGAATGATAAGCTGCTGGGGTTCTGTCTGCAGAGCGTGGAGGTCAGCGGACTCAACTACAAGATGGACGGACTCAACAAGTTCACAGAGTACACGGTCCGGGTCCTGGCCATCAACCGCTACGGCCCCGGGACCGCCTCCGAGACCGTCGTCGTGACGACCCTGTCAGACGGTGAGCAGGTTTATTTCCTCTCATCTTATGATCCTGATGAGCTCAGGTCAGGAAATTATGTCTTAAATTAAAATACTGACTTTAAACATGTGTTGATCAGGAGCTATAATGTGTTATAAAGTTATTATTACAGTAATTAAATAAAAATACTAACATATTTTATGTACTGAAATATGTACTACCTCCTTAGTTTATAGAAATATTAAATTAGAATCAGTTAATTTAAATAATGTTTTTAATCATGTTAAATCATCACATTGGGGACATTTTGATTAACAGTAAATATATTGATTAGGAGTTAATTAAAAACATTTTGAATGGTTTTGTTGGTTCTGCAGCTTCAAATAGACTCTGAGTTAGTGAAGCAGGTGCTGTTTATTACCTGGCACAGTGTGTGTGTGTGTGTGTGTGTGTGTGTGTGTGTGTG